GGGCAGAACAGGACACACTGATTTCCACCCACAGCCCAAAGCTATGAGGTTGAAACACAGTGGCCTCATCTCTGCTAAGATAATACTTACAGGAGGCATAGGGAGCAGCAAAGGAGGGAACAATGAGACAGAGTGAGCCTGGCATCTATCTGATCGCTATGTGGGAGTGAGTGCATATGGCAACACGCGGAGATGTGCCGCCTCTCCTGGGACCTGGCTGGGCCTGGCTGGGCTCTGACAAAGTTGCAGCCTTTAAAGGTCCCGGAGGCGCGCACACTGCGAGCAGAGAAGGGCCTGCCGGCTGTGCCGCGGGATTGCCCTGACGGGAAGGAGACAGGGGCTCCAGACTGCTCTGAACGCCACCTCCAATCCCACTACCAACTGAACTGAACCCCAATACCGGACTCATTGGGGGAGACCATAGACAGTTTGGCAGCAGGCGAAAATCAAGGGCACCTTTCTCTCAGAGGCGCTCGCAACAAGTACTGAAGGACCCTGAGTCTCAGGAGTCGCATAGGGCAGGGCTGACGGAAGCCAAGGCTGTAGGCTCCACCCTGAAACCCCGCCCCATCAGGAAAGCTGCCTGTGAAAATGCCTAAACCAAATAGATCACAAACGAAAGAAATAGAGGACAAAAAGCGACTGGATATAGAGTTCAAAACCACACTTATAAGGTTGTTCAAGAATCTCCTAGAAAAGGCCGATAAAATAAACAAGACCTATGAGGATATGAAAAGGGATCAACTAGAAATAATAAGGGATCAACAAGAAATAAAGAATACATTGTCTGAAATAAAAAATATTTTATGGAGTCCTAAAAACAGAATGGAAGATGGCAAGAATCAAGTCAAAGATTTGGAACATAAAGAGCCAGAAGACACTCCTCCGCAGACGCAAGAAGGCCAGAGAATCCAGAAAGTTGAAGATAATATAAGAAACCTCTGGGACAACTTCAAGCGAACCAACATCAGAATTATGGGGGTCCCAGAAGATGAGAGAGAGCAAGATATCGAAAACATACTGAAAGAAATAGTGACAGAAAACTTTCCCCACCTGGTGAAAGAATTAGACTTACAAGTCCAGGAAGCGCACAGAACTCCAAACAAAAGGAATCCAAAGAGGACCACACCAAGACAAATCATAATTAAGATTCCAAGAGCAAAAGACAAAGAGAGAATATTAAAAGAAGCAAGAGCAAAGAAGGTAGTTACCTATAAAGGAGCACCTATACGATTGTCAGCTGATTTCTCAACAGAAACCATGCAGGCCAGACGGGAATGGCAAGAAATATTCAAGGTGATGAATAGCAAGAACCTACAGCCAAAGATAATCTATCCAGCAAAGCTATCACCCAGATTCGAAGGTCAGATAAAGAGCTTCACTAATAAAAAAAAGCTAAAGGAGTTCATCACCACCAAACCAGAATTATATGAATTGCTGAAGGGGGTTCTTTCAGAAGAGAAAGTAAATAAAGATAAAAATTATGAACAACAAATACGTAACTATCAACAAGTGAATCTAAAAACCAAGGAAACTAAAAAAAAAAAAAAAATCTGAGGAACAATATTAACTGTTGAATATAATAGAATCAGAGGTATGGAAGGGGAGTGAACTGTTTATTCTTGGGGAAAAGGGGAGAGGGGGATGTGGGAAGAGACTGAACATAAACTGTGCACCTATGGATGAGGACAATGGGGGGTGGGGAAAGGGCAGAGGGTAGGGTGAGAAGGGGGGGGGAAGGAACATTTGTAATAATATGAACAATAAAAATTTATTTAAAAAAATAAAAAGTTGCAGCCTTTAAGCAGTAGGCAGGTTCAGGCTGTTTTCTTTCCACCAGGCCTGTAGGCTGCCTTGGGATAATGCTGGCCAGTATGAGGACCGACAGCTTGGTTATCACGGTAGCCTGAATATAACCAAGCTCACACTCAGACCTGCCCTTTGGCACATTCCAAAGGAGGCAAGGTGTGGAGACCTCTGCCTCTAGCTAGCACCAGCAAGACTTTTATTTCCAGCCAATGCTTCAGAAAGATCTTGCCAGAGAACAAATAAAGGAGACGCAGGGGCATTTCCCTACTCTGGCCTGAATGTGCTTCCCTGTTTGTTTATCAGCTGTCTCACTCTAAACAGCTTGCCGGTGGCCTCTCAGCTATGTTCCTTTCAGACAATGGCCACCGGGATCTCAGAGTGCGCCTTTGTCCGGAATCTGCTTCACCTACCCCTCCTGCCAAGTTTCTGGATAAACAGACTTTGTCCACCCCTCCTGGTGGGCAGCAGAACTCTCACACAGAGTCCAAGAGGTAGGTTGTCAAAAAAAAAAACAAGGCTTGGGCAGGGCTGATCAGAGGAGGAGCTGCAGATGCTTGAGGCCCCTGCAAGGACTATAATTTGTCCCTTGTGATGGGCCAAATCAATTTATATTCAAGGCTAGTACAGGCCTGCCTTGTTATCCGAAAACCTCGGCGTAGTTTTTAAGCAAGGATGCCATTTGGAGCAGAGATGGGGCGGAGAGAACGGAAGCTCTGGGGAGAGGCAGGATCGACTCACATGCCCTAGCAGCTGGCATCGACAGCCCAAGGCTAGTGCTTCCTGCTCTGTGTTTGCCGGGCTGTAGGGAAGGCCCACGGTGGCACAGGCCCCATTCCATTCGCTCACACTCCCAGAGTGGAGCCTGGTAGCGCTGTGATGGATCCCAGGCCAGGATGCAAGAGGAGTGCCAGGTCCCTGAGTACCCTTCTCCTTCCCTCAGGCTCTTCAATCCCATCCCCACCATCCCACTCAGACTCCCTGGGTCTCTCACTGTGGGGGAGCCCCTGGTGACCACAGAACTCTTCACGGAGGCCTCTCCACCTGTGGTTGATTTTTCTTTGCCTCTAATATGAAGGGGGAAAAAGACAGTGAGAACATTTGAAGGTTTAGCCCACCTCAATTTCCTGAACTCCAAGTTGCAGAGGTTTAATTTCTGGTGAACGCAGCGAGGAGATTGGGGGATCCCATCTTCTAATCAGCTCCTACTGATACGGGGCAGCTCTACCACAGGTTACATAAGCCAAGGATGTAGGGACTCTTATCCCAGCTGGTGTGTAGAGTGCGGCTGGTTGCCCTTGCCCCAGCTCATTTGTAGGGTGCAGGTTCCATGGCGAGAGAGGCAGCCGAAAAGACAGAGGCTATAACCCCCACCCAGAGTCCAACTCATAAAGCAGGGGTGGCACTCTGAGGGCTGCTTTCTCCATCCTCAGCTCTGGGGCTGGAGCTCAGAGGTTTTTGCCCTCAGAGGTAGTCAGAGAGCTCTGAAGCTGTCCCTACAGAAAATAAGCTCATTGGAAAGTGTGCAGGAGTTGAAGACTAAGTGATGTTGAAAACAACGTAGACTGTGGTGATAAAGAAGAGGAGGATGGCAGCTCCATTAGAGCAACAGGCTAATCCAGGTCAGCTAGTCTACCAGCGGAAACCAGAAACAGAAACAGCTCAGGACATCTCTCCTAGAGTCAGAACAAACCCCAAAAGCTACTCCTGCCAAGGGATTTGAATTAATTGAACTAGACTGTGGGATAATTTATGTGCTAGGCGATTATTGAAAGCAATAAAGCTATCAGCTGGATCTGAAATCTGCAGAGGCATACAGCTTAATAGGAAAATAAGAGGAAGAGACCATCAAACAGCCCTGCCAAAACCTTTGTCATCCCAGGGTGACTGTGCAGGGCCCAGCCCTGTGCCCTCTGAAGAGGAACATGAGAGGCTTCACACCGAAAGGGAACCAGACATCACTTAAGAGTCCAGCCAAGTTATTAAAAAATCAACAAGAGACACGCCTTAGAGACACGCCTCCCTCAAATGTGAGTGGGGTTCAATGCTCAGAGTTTCCATAATATATTTCCTAACATGTCTAGTTTTGAACAAAAGGAAATTAGAAGACATGCAAAGGAACAGGAAACAGAAACTGAGTGAAGCCCTAACCAGTTTGACTCAGTGGATAGAGTGCTGGCCTGAGGACTGAAGGGTTCCAGGTTCAATTCCGGTCAGGGGCAGCTGATAGATGTTTCTCTCTCATCGATGTTTCTGACTCTCTCTCCCTCCGCCTTCCTCTCTGTAAAAAAATCAATAAAAAAAAAATTTTTTTTTAAAGAAACTGAATAAAAGGGCCCAGATATCATATTAATGAAGACTTCAAAGCAGCATACTTAAAAAAAGTAAAAGAAGGTATGATGACAACGTCTCATCAAATGTAGAAAACCAATTAAGACAAAATTAAATTTATATATAAAAATTAAGTAGAAGTTCTGGAGTTGAAATATATAGTAACTGAAATTAAAATTCAGTAAAGAGCTTTAATTGTATATATGAACAGGCAGAAGAAAGAATCAGCAAACTTGAAGGTAGAACAATAGTAATTAAGCAATCAAAAAAAAAAAAAAAGAGAGAGAGAGAAAGAGAAAAAAAGGAATGAAGAAAAAATAAACAGAGCTGTAGAGAAATGTGGAACAACATTATACACACCAACAAATGCATAATGGAATACTAGGGGGGAAAAAGAGAAAAACAGAAAAAAATCTAGTCAAAGAAATAAATGGCTGAAAACTTTCCGAATTGTATGAGAAACATTAATCTACATTGGTCAGAGCTCAGCAAAGTCTAAGGAGGAAAAAACAAAAAAAAAGTTCCACACAGACATATTACGGTAAAACGGCTGAACGATAAACACAAAGGGGAAAATTTAAAGCAGCAAGAAAAATAAAATTCATATATAAGGGGACTCCAATAATATTTATGTTTGACTTATCATCAAAAACAATGGAGGCCATAAGGCAGTGGGATAACATATTCACAGTGCTGAAAGAAAAAATATGTCAAGTAAGAATCTTATCTCTAGAAACACTCTCTTTTGAAAATAAAATAAAGAGCTCTGGCCAGTTTGGCTCAGTGGCTAGAGCATTGGCCTGTGGACAATTGATTCTGGTCAAGGATCGTGGGCTTAATCCCCAGTGGAGAGCATGCAGGAGGCAGCCAATCAATGATTCTCTCTCATCATTGATGTTTCTATCTCTTTCCCCCTCTTCCTTCCTCTCTGAAAGTAATAAAAATATTTTTTAAAAAGAAAATGAAATAAAGATATTCCCAGATACACAAAAACTGAGATAATTTTTGCTAGTAGTACTTCCTTACAATAAATATTAAAAGAAGTTCTCCAGGAATATATATTTTTAATGCAAAACATGCTCTGAAAACTACAAAGCACGTTTGAAAGTCAGGACCTAAATAAATGGAATGACATCTCATGGTCTTGTGATAGGCCAATATGAAGCAGAAGACTTAATATTTTTAAGATGGCAATACTCTCCAAGCTGGTCTACAGATTCAACACAAAAGATACTCAATATTGTTAGTCATCAGGGAAATGCAAATCAAAACCACAATGAGCTACTTCTTAACACCATTGGAATAGTTATAATTAAAAAGACAGAGTAGCTGGGATCGGTTTGGCTCAGTGGATAGAGCGTCGGCCTGCGGACTGAAAAGTCCCGGGTTCGATTCCGGTCAAGGGCATGTACCTTGGTTGCCGGCACATCCCCAGTGGGGGGTGTGCAAGAGGCAGCTGGTCTATGTTTCTCTCTCATTGAAGTTTCTAACTCTCTGTCCCTCTCAATTCCTCTCTGTGTAAAATCAATAAAATATATTTAAAAAATAAAATAATAAAAATAATAAAAAGACAGAGTAACAAATGTTGGTAGGAATAGGGAGACTGTGGTGATAGAGCAGAATAATGCTGCTATGTACACAAACGTTCATAGCAGCATTATTCATAGTAGCCAAAAACAGAAACAACCCAAATGTCTATCAACCTATGTATGAATGGTTAAATAAAATTCGATATTTCCATACAATGGTATATTATTCCACCATAAAAAGGGATGAAGCACTGACACGTGCTACCACATGGGTGAATTTTGAAAACATACTTAGTGGTGGTGGTGTGTGTGTGTGGGGGGAGGGAATCAGTCATTAAGGGCCAGGTATTGGACGATTCCACTTACATTAAATGTCCATAATACGAAAACCTATAGAGACAGAGAGTATATTAGTGGTTCCCAGAGAATGGGAATTGACTGCTAATGGGCATAGGGTTTTTCAGGAGTGGTGAAAACATTCTAAAAATCAGATAGTACTGACGGTGGCACACCTCTGTGAATAATATACTAAAAACCACTGAACTGTATACATTAAAAGAGTGAATTTTATGGCGTGTAAATGATATCTCAATATAGCTGTTATAAACAATCATTAAATAGCCAGCTTCTTTTTCCCCAACAGTCAATAAAGTTTCAGCTTTAAATAGCAACTAAGTTTTAAGGAAGAAATTGGGGTGATGTATGTTCTATTATCAACTCATTATATTTCCTATTTTCTTTTTTTTAATATATTTTTTTATTGATTTTATACAGAGAGGAAGGGAGAGAGATAGAGAGTTAGAAACATCGATGAGAGAGAGTCATCCATCAGCTGCCTCCTGCACACCCCCTACTGGGGGATATGCCTGCAACCAAGGTACATGCCCTTGACCGGAATTGAACCCAGGACCCTTCAGTCCTCAAGCCGACGCTCTATCCAGTGAGCCAAACTGGTCCCGGCTATACTTCCTATTTTCCCTGGGATGAAAAATAACTGTAAGAGGATGTCACCCAAATATAGTTTTCACTCTTAAGTGGATTAATGTCAGATTTTCATGTACACTCCTCTCTAAGATTGAAGTCCACTTATAAAGGGATTTTATGCCTTATGGTAAAAGTCTTTTGGTCATTGAACACAAAGTTCTTGTTTCTGAGAATCTCTTTTGCTTAGTCAGGTTTAAGTGTAACCTGCTTTGCTTACTCATTCATGCTGTTTGTTCTAAGTCATGGTTTTGCTTAGGACAAAGGTGTGAGGTTAGTAGAAAGGAACTGCCATTTAGGAAGGTCTGTAATATGTCAGACTCTCTACTTACATTTCCTGTTAAATGCTCACCGTATCCCTAGGAATGAGTATTACTGTCTCCTCTTTGACGATGAAAAAGTAGGCTGATAGGTGTGAATGAGTAGCCCAAAGCCACGTAGACAGAAGTGACAGAATCCAAGAGAGCCTGTGCACTTTGCTCAACATCAGGCTGCTTTCCAGAGTTCTCTTTTCTCTGCAGTTCTTTATGGTCCTTCATGCCTTTGATGAATGCGAAAACCTTGGCTACTTGGAGAGTTCAAGGTTGAGGGTGATTTTCAAAGGACAAAGTGTGACACCACACATTTTCCAAACTCGTTTTTCATTATTCCTAATGGTTCAGCATTTGTTCATCAACAGTTTGTTAAGCATCCATCATGTGCCTAGGCTTGTGCAGGCATTAGTTATCTAAAAAAATTATATGACTAGATTCAGTTTTTAGAACTCTGTCCATCTGGAGGCGATGGAGGAAGGGGTGCCTCTTTTCTGCCCTAGCCAGAGAGCAAGGGCGCAGTGGCCCAGCGGGGCTCATGCACGCACCTGTGATACCTGATCTGTCCTATGAAGTATGCTTGACCTTGAGCTTTGTGGAGGCAAAAACCATGTCTGTTTTGTACCCCACACAGAGTCTGGCCAAGAGCAGGTGTTCAATGACGGTTGGATAAATGATTAATCAATTTCCTTTACCAATCCACTAGGACATGGGCTGGTCACATCAATGCTCTGTGCCTTCATTTCCTCATTTGTAACGGGATAAAGAGAGTACCCATTTCAAGTGCCTTGTGCGGGGCCTGGATGAGATTGATTGACCTATTTGGAAATGTCTTTTGTGTGAAGTGTATCTTTGGGCATGTGGAGGTATTATTGATATGAGAAAATGCTAAGTAACTGATTTACTATCTGAAAAGGGATTTACTATCGGGGAAAGGGAGGGAGGAACCAGAGACTGAACATGGACTGTGCACCTATGGATGAGGACAATGGGGGAGGGGAAGGGGCCGAGTGTGGGGTGGGAACCTGGTGGAGGGGGGAAGAAATGAGGAACCTTTGTAATAATATGAACAATAAAGATTGATTTAAAAAAAAAAAGAGAGAGAGAGAGTACCCATTTCACATGGTAGATCCATGAGACAATACAAGGCATATAGTTAGCACTCAATACACTGTGGTTGTCATTCCCATTATTACTGCTGGAAGGGCCAAGAGGCACCTTCTTCTATGGCAGGAGTGACCTCCCGTCCCCTGTTACCTGGTGGCCTGGGTTTTTATTTCTTAAAGCAGAACTGAAGGCTAGCTGGTCCAGCTACATGGAGCTTGCTCTGCTCTGTTGGGGAAATCTTGGTCTGAGACCCCGAGGATGAGACGGACATAGTAACACTGGGAGGACACATGCAGTGCTCCTTCTCTGCACATCTTGGGCCAGTTGGTTCCCGCAATCCACTCTCTCTCATCAGGGTGTGTGTGTGTGGGTGGGTGGGTTATGCTTCAGAAATGTTAGTGTTTGACCTCCAAGCACAAGTCCAGAGGACTGCCAGCTGGCTCCTCACCAGGCCATCCACCTCTGAGCATCTTGTGGAGATCTGTGAGAGGCTCAAGGCACAGGTCTGTCCCATCGAGGAAAAGATTGTCTCCCACTGAGCCTATCATGTCACTGTTAAGCACAGAGAGCTCCTTGGGACCCTGACTAGTGAGGCCCCCAAGACACACCCCTCAAATGCCAAGGGTCTGGGACAGACAGAACCTGAACTCCCAGGAATAGCCCTGTGGAGTAAAGGGCTCCTCTTCAGGCTGACAGCTGATTTACTAGACTGCGGCCCCATGAACCCCAGCTGGGAACTTTGAATCCTGTGTCCTATTACCAGGCCTTTTGCAGCTTTCCTAAAAGGCTCCTGGGATATAGCAGTGCCCCAAGAGAAGATCCAGCCCTGGAGCCACCCCAGGTAGCACTGAAGTCCAGCTGCCGTTCTCTACTGGGTATGAGCAGGCTCTCTAAAGGAAGATGGCAGCCTGCATGGGCCTGGAGCAAGTGGCTGCTGTGACACACGGCCGCCTCCCGGGTAGCATGATAGTGACAGGGCTTCTTGAGCCCTTCTTCAAGGCGGGAAGGGGGACCTGGCGCCATGGCTGCATGGTCTCCAATAGGAGAACGGTGGAGAGCTGGTCATTGCTCACCCTTCCCAGAACTCCTTCCCCTGCTCCATTCCCCACAGAGACCAAGTTGACCCACTGCTGAGCCGACTTTGTGGGCATGCAACCCGTGCGGTCAGTCACAAAGCGCCCATGCTTGGTCTTAATGTTCTGATATTGGCGTCTTGAAATTCTTAGACATTTTTTAACGAGGGGGTTCCAGCGTTTGCAGTTTACGTAGGGCCTGCAAATTAGGTAGCCAGTCCTTCCCACAACCTTTGCTCATGCGGTGCCTAAGCTCCACTCCTGACAGCCTTCTTCCTTCTTTGCTGTCTCTAAATCTTATCTCCCCTCATCTAAGGCAAAGTCCTGACAGAAAAAGTTTAAGAAAATTTCAGGAAAGAGAGAGACCACATTATCTTCAGAAGAGCTTTTCTGCTCCGCTGCAGGTGGAATGGTGATGATTGGAATTGGACACATTGATACTCCTACCAAGCTGGAGATCTTGGCTCAGTCCCGGCTGAAGGCTGTGGTGGAGGCCTCCTGACCCTAGTCTTGCTGTCACATTTTTTGCCAAAGTGTATGGCACATGTGTCAAACACAAGGCCCGCGGGCCAAATCCGTCCCGCCAGGCCTTGCAATGTGGCCCGCACGGCGCTGTCATCACTGCACTCCGCTGCGTTTCCATCACAATGACAGTTTATGACTGTTCAGTAAACCATTCGGCCCGCGATTTAGGCTGAATTTTAGATTTTGGCCCCTTCTCTGATTGAGTTCGACACCCCTAGTGTATGGGATGGAAGTTCATTTTATCCAGCCTTTGGAATTCATGTCCAACGCAGGAGATGTATACAAGGCTGTAGAGACCTGAGTTGGTCACTCACGTGCCCTTTTGCTTGCTATGACTTCAGACAAACCTCAGTTTACTCTGCTGCGAAATGGGTCACACTTCACATCATGAGGCTCTGAACTCTCAGTTGCTGATCTTGCCGTATGTTGGAACAGATCCAAGCTCTTTTTTGACCCTCGGGCCAGTGAGTTTTGGGAGTGGGTGGCCATTAATTCAGGGGCATATCCTATCTACCTTTCCCTATCCTTCGGCCAGGCCCATGAATCTGGCCACACGGCTTCGGAGGCTTTGTGACCTTTCCCATGAAGCCCATTCAGGCACCCGAGGTGAAGCAACCCTACCGTGGGTGTGGTCTCAGGACTTGTCCCGGGATGGTGACTGAGGGCAGAGAGCCGAGTCCCTGGGCCGCACTGTTTTCCTTCTGCAGAGCTGTGCTCGGACGTCGCTCCTGTGGCAGCCTCATGGGCACCAGCAGAGGCAGCCTCATGGGCCTTACTATTGTCTTTAGGACAAGGGTGTTCTCACGGTGACCCCTTTGTGGAAGAACGTGTCTCGGAGAGACTCCTCTCAGGTCTCGGTCCTCAGGAGCTTCTGCAGGACGGGATTATCACCTGTGCACGGCTGTCCTGGCGCGGAGCGGCGGGGATGCTCAGAGCTGATCGCAGGGCCTCCCTCGCAAGCAGGCAGGCCCTGGGCAGGGCCGCAGGTGGCGGGTCTCCCCTCAGGTTGGGTGTTTTGCAGCCCTTCCTCCCCCTGTGCTTTCTCTTTGCCCCAGTTCCCTCTGCTTTTTGTGTAACTCTTTTCTTTTGGAATTGTTCTTATGCGCACCTCTCTCTGCTGCAGAATGAGGTGTGACAGAAATATGTGAGTTCACGTTTAAATCTGTTTTAGGGATGTTGTGCGCGTTAAGAACTGAGTTGCTTTGAGACCGTCATGAAGCATCACCACCAGCAAGTGGAGCTGGGGTGGTGGTGGGACCGCAGCAGGAGCGCTTTGCTCTGGACCAGCGATTTTCAGCCTTTTCCATCTCGTGGCACACACAAACTGATGACTGAAAGTCTGAAATATATATATATATATACACACACACACACGCACACACACACACACACACACGCACACACATACAAATACAGATATATATATACATACAAATACATACATATATATATATACATATACATATATATATCAATATATATATATATATATTGCCGATTTGACAAAAAGAAAAATAGGTGTGATTTTGATTCATTCACACTAGACGGCTGTTGTTATGTTGGCTGTTGTTGTTGTTTTTATTTGACAATGTGCAGGAAAAGAGGTCAGTGCCCCTGACTAAATAGTCAGGTCTTGCCTGTTTTAAAAATTCTTGTGGCCCTCTGGTGTGCTGTGGCACACTCCTTAAAAACCACTGCTCTAGACCGTTAATCATCTGGCCACACACAGCACCTCCTGACCCACAGCCCCCACATACTCATTGGCACTGCTTGTTTTTTAAATAAATGGAAGTTCATTGAAGGCATGTTGAAATTTGTGCAACCTCCCCTGAGACTTTGCTGACTTAAGTCAAGAGCTGGGAGGAACTGGAACGCTGGCTGAAACCCTCATGTTATCGATCAACCAGCAGAGACTTGTTAGGGCTACCGCCGCCCCGGGGCCTGGGGAATGGGAGGGCCCACTTCTGGGAAGGCTGGGTAGGAAGGAGGGGGAAGGACTGTAGATGGGAGATAGGGCACTTCCCCTCTGGCTCTGTGGGGCCCCATCCAGGCTTCTGGTGTGAACGGACCAGGGAGCACACGGTTCTCTGGAGGAGTCTCCTCACCCCATTTAATCACAGACCCCCTGGGACCACTTCACTCTCAACAAGGCAGAGGAAACTTTATACGTGGACCAAGTGACCCTGCCCTCGTCCTGCCCCGCCCCGCCCCTCAGGGGGTTCTAACACCTTCGCTCCCTGCTCTGAGGCCTCCTGAGGTAGGCATGCCACCTCTGCTTCATAGCGCTGTGCAGCTGAGGGTCACCAGTCACAGCCATGGCCTCCGCTCGCTTCTCACTGTGTGATGGCAGCAGAGCCAGGGCACCCCACTCCCTTTCAGAGGAGGAAGGGGCTCTCAGAGAGGACAGTGACTTGCCCCAGTGAAGGTGGTGGGGAGCCCAGCCCAGGGCCCTTGGCACAATGGCGAGCCTGCCCTTGGCTGCCGTGCTGCTCTCCCAGGAGCTGGGCCGGGGCCGGGCCTGCTGGGAAGCGGCTCACCCTCACCCTCTTCTCCCGGCAGTGGAACCTGGTGTGTGATGACGACTGGAAGACGCCGCTCACCTCCTCCCTGTTCTTCGTGGGCGTGCTCATTGGCTCCTTCTTCTCCGGACAGCTGTCCGACAGGTAAGGGGGCCAGGAGGAAAGGTGGGACAGGGCCCCTGGTCGACCCCTCGTTTGTCTTGGGATCGAACTGAATTCAAAGTGTTTCCACCCAGAGAAAGGAGGCCCCTCAGGCCAATGAGTCCGTAACAGGAGGAGCCATGATGCCTCCTGGTTTTCCCGCCCTCAGCCTCTTCCCGGGCCCACTGGGAAGTGGATCCTCATATTACCAAGCTCTAAAGGTGCGCAGCTGCCCAGCCGGTGTGGCACAGTGGTTGAGCATCAGCCTATGAACCAGGAGGTCATGGTTCCATTCCCAGTCAGGACACATGCCTGGGTTGTGGGCTTAATCCCCAGTGGGGGATGTGCAGAAGACAGCTAATCAATGATTCTCTCGTTGATGTTTCTCTCTTTCCACTCTCCCTTCCTCTCAGAAATCAATAAAAAATATATATGTATATTTTAAAAAGGTACACTGCCATCACCACTGCCTCCCACCCCGTCCCTAACTCTTGGATGACGTGATCTGTCCACAAACAGCAGTCAGCCAGGGGCAGGGTACCACCTCTGCTGTGGCCCAGGCCCTGACCAGGCACGGGGGCCACAGAGCTGATCTCCAGCTCATAGACTTGAGGAGGAGGCATCGCAGCTCCAGGGGAAATGCCCGTGACCCCCGAATGTTCTGTGGGGATAGAACAGGAGGTGGGAGGCAGTGTTGGGAAGACCCCCAGAGCAGTGGCTGTGCTTCCCCTTAAATTCCCAAGGGAGCCCCAAGCTCCACAGCCTGAGACCTGAGTCTGGAAAACTCAGGGTGGGGCACTGTTCTGCTCACACCGGTGATCCGTTCCTCCCATCAGTCACTATCAAAATGGGAAATCAAGACTTAAGCCAATGACAGGGTCGCTAATGAGCGTCCCTGGAAGCGACACTTCCCACAGAGCAGTGGTTCACAATTTTGGTTGCACATTAGACTCACTGGGAAAAATTGTTTCAATCCTGATGTCCAAACTGCATCCCAGACACAAGAATCCCGGGCGGCGGGCACAGGCACCAGCATTTTTTGAAGGCGATTCCAAGTGCAGCCAAGGATGGAGACCGCTGCCACAGCGGGAGTCTTGGTTCTGGACACATAGAAGTCCCGTGTTGCTGATACGAGATGTGCCTGCTGTCTGTGCTGTACCCAATTTCTGGAAATGTGATGGCAGCTTTTTTTTTTTTTTTTTTTCTCTCAAAGAGGAAGGGAAAAGGAGAGAGAGAGAGAGAGAGAGAGAGAGAGAGAGAGAGAGAGGAGACATCAGTGATGAAAGAGAGTCCTTGATCGGCTGCCTCCTGCATGCCCTACACTGGGGATTGAGCCCACAACCCAAGCATGTGCCCTTGACTGGAATCGAACATGGGATCCTTTAGTCCCCAGGTTGACGCTCTATCCACTGAGCCAAACCGGCCAGGGCTGGTGGCAGCTTTTATCTGTGACCCTTTCTCCAGTGATTTCCACGTGGTCCTTGCATAAGTTGCTCTGTGCTTTTGAAATGTGGTGGTTCCACAGGAGGCACAGACTCTCACAAGGTAACTCCTGGGCAGATGGATGCTGAGACCTCAGCAAGGAGGAACCGGAGAGGATATGAATGACAGAAAAGCCTGTCATAACACCCCCCCCCTCCCCAGGCCCCCAAATGAAGTCTACAGCGGTGCCTGACTCAGTGCCGCTGCGACCTGCTGGGCCATGCTTTGTGCCGTGCTGTCGTCCACAGGTTTGGCAGGAAGAGAGTCCTCTTTGCCACCATGGCTGTGCAGACCAGCTTCAGCTTCCTGCAGATTTTCTCCATCAACTGGGAGATGTTCACCGTGCTGTTTGTCATTGTCGGCATGGGCCAGATCTCCAACTACGTGGTCGCCTTCATACTAGGTAGGAATGGCTTCTTACCCTTGGGGCTTCTCCTCCCAACCCTCGGAGGCCCGGGAAGAGGGGGCAGGGAACAGGCCACAGGGAGTGAGTGCTCTTACCCGGCACAGAAGGAAGCACCTCAGCCCGTGAGCTGCGCTTCCAGAATGGGGTGTGTGGGGGTGGGGGGCCTGTAGCCACAGCTCTTTGATCAGACGCGGACAAGGCAGGCACTCACAGGGAGCCAGCTCTGTGCTGGGTCCTGAAATGGGGTGATGACTAAGCGTTCAGGCTGGTGGGAACCGGCTACACAATAACGGAGACATCTTTCAGGAGCTAGGGCTTGAGAGAAGCGTGAAGGGGGGCGAGGCATTAGGGGAGGGATTTCTGGATCTGAGCTGTGAAAGCTCAAGACTTCTGCCTGGGACGGGGCAGAAGAGTGTTCCTGGGAGCTGTGCAAGCCCATGGAGGGGCTTAGGAGAGCTGGCGTGGCCAGCACCAGGTGGGAGAGGCACATGTCAGACAGGAGTTCAGCGCCAGCCCGCCACCGTTGGGCAGATGGGCTCGCACCCGAGAGCATATCAGCTGTGTGCAGGACCAGCCCCGTTGCTGATAGCGGGCCTGTCTCTGAGCCGCTGCCTTGCTTTTGGAATATCGGGCTGCACGCTGGAGGCCACGAGAAGGCCCCCAGGGCCCGCGCCAGCTTTTCCTGGGAGGAAGTGAGGTGAGCTCCAGGCAGGTCGGTCAGGGACGCCAACAGGAGTGAGTGCCCCTAGCATGCTCTCTGAACAGGGGAGAGAAGGGGACAACAGACACCAAATGCCGTGTCTAGTGTGGGCTCACCACTATCCCAATTCATCCCTGTTGTCAAGGCATAATGATTAGCGGTGCACCTTTAATGAGAGTCTAATGATGCTTCTTATCTCAAAAGCCTGGACCTGCCAGGACGATTCTAATCCCTTTCGAGTGTGGATGACTCACTGGATTTGGAGGTGCTGTGTGTTCTGAGCTGAGGATGTGTACGCCCTTTGTCCGGTTGCCAAGATGGAATCATTCGAATTCCACTCCTTTAATCATTTGTGAAGGGCCCTTGCCATGGGCCCGGCCTGGGTGTCCAACGTGGGGAGGCGGGGAGGGCCTGCTGAAGCCACGTGGACCTGCTGGATGGCAGCCTCTTCACAGGCTCCAGCAGGAAGGGGCCTCTCTCTTCCCTGTAGGGACAGAGAGGAGCAAGTGCTTTTTGTTCTTCCTTTAAGAAAGTCATTTGTATAAGGGACACCGATCTTCAGGACAACGAGGCTGGAAACCAGAGATTGGAGGAATTTGGGGCCAAACTTGTCTGATGGGGCCCAAGGACTCAGGGTTTTGGGGCACAGCGAAGTCTCTCCTCATTGTCTAAATTCCCCAGACTCTGTCTTCCTGTGGTGACCTTCCCAGTGCCTGAGAAGCCCAGTCAATGTCTCTGCTTGGGCCACAGACCAGACAGGCTCCCTCAAAGCAGAGAGCTCTGCCAGAGGCCAGCGCACACTTGCAGGAGGACACAGAGGGCCATCGGAAGTAGAAGGCAGAGGACTGTGGTGAAGCCAGGCAAGCCTCGTCACTGGGATTGGGAGCCAGGCGGGGTTTGTGCCAGGCCTGGCCTCCCTCGGGTTCTGCTGAGTGGCCGGCCGTGAGATCTGCCTTCCCAGGGGCCACGGAGCCTTCCCTGTAGGACTGGATGCGGCCGGGGCAGCCCATCCTAAGTGTCCTGCAAGGAAGCCTGCCCAGCTGGCCCAGACACTGCAACCTATTTCCCTCCCTGCTGCCGTGCTGGGAAGCGGGAGAGGGCCAAGGGGGAAGGCAGACCATGGAAGACCAGTCAGAGCCTAGATGTGCCAGCCAGAATCCGCGGGCAGGACGCTGGATGCAGCATCGGCCTGGGCCCCGGGCTGTTGTGGGATGCTCTGGAGCCTCCCTGGCTGTAGTTTTACTCAACCGTGCTCTGTGGGAAGCTGTTGACAATGTCCTTGTACGGGACTCTGTGTTGGGTTCTCAGGTCTGAACCTTCTTAAGAGAGTCGCTGAGAACAGCCTGACCTTGGGACCTGCAGGCTCCCTCTTCAGCGCCTGGGTGTGGCGAGGTGACAGGACCAGTCAGAACAAGGGCACCACTGTGGCTGGCTTACCTGCAGCACAGCAGCTCCCTCTGGCGTTTCGGGGCTAACATGGTGAATTCCTTGTTTTGACTAAAATACACCAAAGCTTGGAGACTGGGCTCACAAATCCTGTCTAGTCCTTCACTTTGCCCTCTGGCTCTAGAGAAGAGTTAGCAAGACTCTCCAACAATGATCTCCAGTTTTAAGAGTCTTCACATTAACATTAATTCAAGGATCTGAATTACTCCCATTCTCTAAGTGGTGCAGAAATGGATCCTCTCCTTGCTCTGCTTTTTAAAAAGCCTGCCAGAGCCATAGGAGACAAGAAAAGGGCTAAAAGGGAACATAAAGGGCTACACCTGGAGAGGAAGAATGGGGCTGGTTTTGGAGGAAATGACTACTCAGGACAAACGACACTGACCCTCCCCACACTCCAGCTGCTGTTACAACCACTGCTGTTTCCCCAGAAATAACACCTTCAACCTGTCCACAGCTTGTGGGTAAAATGCCAGCAGCATCCCTCATAACTAGCTGCTTAAATTTATTCCACACACTTAACTGCCTCCTGTCTGGAATGATCCATTAATTTTAATATTTTCCCAGTACTCCTAACATCAACCTCCTGTGCAGTGTTTGTTCCAGTAAGTTGAACTATTTAAAACTCCGATAGTTCCTTTGATTAGTATGCAACTGATTGCATCTTCCTTTATTACTTTGGCTACCAGAATGCTTGGGGAATAATTGAAATTTAACTAGACAAGATTATTCATAGGTTATTTCCTTCCTCTCTCCCTCTCACTTCCTCTCTCTGAAATCAATAAAAATATGCATTAAAAAAAAAAAACAGACCAGACTTAAATCCTGGCTGCCCCATTTATTACATATTTTTAATTTAGGCAATGTGTCCCAACTCTTTAAGTCTCAGCAAATTATACTATAAGATAGAAGCAATATTCTTCTATAATTTTTGTGAAGATTCAAAAAGATAATACAGGTAAACACTTAATCTGGAACCTGACAGAAGTGCCTACTCAAAAAAAAAAAAAAAAAAAAAAAAGCTAGCTATGAAGATGATGATGGTGATGGTTTAAGGTGACTATCTAAAAGTTGGAGATCAGGAAGTGATGCTAACAAGCAACTATTCAGGTTCATGCCATCCTTACTGATCCATGCACCGAAAGGCAAAGAGGTAGATTTACAAACCATCTGACTCAGCAAAGTCAGAACAACTCTGTTCTGGCCTGGCACCCAAACGGAGAGAGGGAGATGGTCCAGGAATCTGGTGGTAGAACCTCTCTCTGATCAGGGGCAGGGAACTGTCAGGGTGCTGCCTTGGCCTCAGGGGTCCACAAGATTTCTCACCCAGTCCTGTGCTCTTTCTGTTCTCCACAATCAAATCTCCTGCCACTTCCCTTCTGAATCTCTGCTCAGGAATAAGGCACCCCCGTTCATTTCTCCGTCATGATAATCACAGGCAAAGCGTTTGGAAACCATGGCATGGGCAGTCTTCCTATGGGGCAGGCAGGAAGGTCATTAAGGAAGTCAGAAGAGATCTGGCAATGACATTCCTGATCCTCAACATGGTCAGGCCTGATCCTTGGAAATGACTTTAGGGCTGAGTCGTGCCTGGGTGGTTGGGTCTCTTGTCCACAAGTCTAGGATGAGAGAGGCACCTGTACTGGCCATGCCTATCGGTCTGGTTTTAGAAATGGCTGCTTCAGAGGGAGCCTCTGAGGCCTGTGGCTCCAACAGGCTGAGGAAGGAAGAAGCGGGGCGGGGCCGGAACAGGTAGGCGTGGGAAATCAGTAATTTTACTGCTTCTCCGTAATTAGCTCCTGATTCCTTAGTCTGTGCGTAGGGCATGTAAACATGATTGAGAAAAGCTGCCTTGAATGCCAAACCCAAACGACGGTGGAACGTTCTATTTTGTGTTTCTGGGCTACTTCTCCGTCGTGGTGGGAAGGCCTCAAACAGAAGGCGGAGCGCTGGCCATTGGCCAGCGCTCCGCCCCCTGGACCACAAGTGGACTCTGTGGGAAGGGCCTGCAGCTTCTGGACAACAGAAGGCGCTTGTTCGTTCTCGGGTTCTGAAGGGCGGGCGGCGTCTCTGGGGGAACTGGTGCCGAGCCAGCCATTGTGGCTCTGAGCAGGACCCAACAGCCACCTGCGTGTCCTTTCCCAAAACAGGCCCAACACCAAGCAGTCCTGGGCCTTTGTGCTGTTCTGGGAGAGCTCGGTGGAGTTCCCTGGCTGTGTGGCCAGCTCCAGGGCCGCCGCCTGCCAGGCCAGCAGAGCGGTGCCTGCTTTCTTCTCCGTCTACATGGCCTGGGCCGCCTGGGGCTGGTCCCTGGGCACCGTGTGGCTGCAGGGGAACTGGGGCCCTGGCTCCGGGCCGGTTCTGTGCACGGTCCAGGGCCAGCTGGATCCCAGTCCCGTTTCTCAGGGCTCACGGAGGCTGAGAGTCCTAGCACCCTCAGGGCTCACGGAGGCTGAGTCCTAGCACCCTCAGGGCTCACAGAGGCTGAGAGTCCTAGCACCCTCAGGGCTCACGGAGGCTGAGAGTCCTAGCACCCTCAGGGCTCATGGAGGCTGAGAGTCCTAGCACCCTCAGGGCTCACGGAGGCTGAGAGTCCTAGCACCCTCAGGGCTCACGGAGGCTGAGTCCTAGCACCCTCAGGGCTCACGGAGGCTGAGAGTCCTAGCACCCTCAGGGCTCACCGAGGCTGAGAGTCCTACCACCCTCAGGGCTCACGGAGGCTGAGAGTCCTAGCACCCTCAGGGCTCACGGAGGCTGAGTCCTAGCACCCTCAGGGGCGGAGCTCTCCAGGGTCTCCCCAGAGGCCGGTCTGTGTTTGTACAGTAAGGTGACCAGACGTCCCGCTTTTGGTGGGACAGTCCCGATTTTCAACAATTTGTCCCGCATCCCGAGACGTTTTAAAAAAAAGTCCCAATTCCAGCAGAAACCGGTTTGGCTCAGTGGATAGAGCGTTGGCCTGCGGACTGAAAGGTCCCAGGTTCAATTCTGGTCAAGGGCATGTACCTTGGTTGTGGACACATCCCCAGTGGGGGGGAGGGGGCTTGTGCAGGAGGCAGCTGGTCGATGTTTCTCTCTCATCGATGTTTCTAGTTCTCTATCCCTCTCCCTTCCTCTCTGTGGAAAATCAATATTTTATATATATATATATATATATATATATATATATATATATATATATATATATATTTTTTTTTTTTTTTTTTTTTTTTTTTTTTTAAAGTCCCAATTCCAAAACTCAGGTCTGTCCCGCCCAAAGCGGGACGTCTGGTCACCTTACTGTACGGGGGAGAACAGTAGGAAAGGCTCAAGGCACGGGGCCCCACCAAGCCCTGCCGAAGAGCCCCCACTGCCTCCTGGACCACCTCTTGCTCCTCACCCTGCGGCTCTCCCAGAAGAGGCTGCTTCTTGGCGCTGGGCTTGCTATTTCTAAGACATGAAATGATCTTTAAAAAAAAATCGATGGCTCTTTTAAAACCTCGGGATCACTTAGCTTTCTATAAGCTGATACATCTTGGGTCACTTCCCACCTTCCTCCACCCTGACCACTCCCGCCCTGGGCCATGAGACTTTTCCCTTCTGTAAGCGACGATAGTTGGAACCCTAACTGCCAGGTAATGATGTGTAAAGCAAATATTAACGTGGGTTAAAAATGCTAATACTCCTCCCTTGTTTTGAACAGGCACAGAAATTCTTGGCAAGTCAGTTCGTATTATATTCTCCACATTAGGAGTGTGCACATTTTTTGCAGTCGGCTACATGCTGCTGCCACTGTTTGCTTACTTCATCAGAGACTGGCGGATGCTGCTGCTGGCGCTGACCGTGCCGGGGCTGCTGTGCGTCCCGCTGTGGTGGTGAGTGTGGCTCAGCCCCAGACAGCCCCCTGCTGCTGGCCAGCACAGCCTGGAGCCGACAGCCTGGTGCTGACCCTGGTGTGATCTCACTGACGCTGGCCGGGGCTGGGCCTCGAAGCCCAGAGGCTGCTCTCCTGGCTGGGTGGGTCTGTGTGCTGGGGTTCGATTCTCCTCTGTCCCACAAAGCACCCTCCCCAGGAAATCCAGCCTTTCCCCTCCCCAGTCTTGTCTGCTGTTGGTGGTGGTTTTTATTTGTGAGATGGTCTCCATCACCGCCCCTCCCACCCAGGTGTTCTGACACTTTTCTCCAGGAGCTCTCCTTCTCCCTGTGGGCTCACCTGATGGAGTTTCTGTCCTCGGCCTCTGAGGAGCGCCCATTTATCCGCTTTGTCTAGAAGGGCGAGGGAGTTACTTTTCTTCAACGAGTTGTCAGAGAAACGACCTCTTCTCTCTTCCCTCAACCCGCTAACCCCATTTTGACACATGAGTATGGGAACCACACAATCACAAAATCACTAGCCCTAGGTTTTTCCCTTTACGGTTATGGTTATGTGAGAGAGCAAATTAAGAAAAAATGGAATCTGGTCGAGCCATACCCTCTTTTTGAGGAGTCCCCATTTCTTTGGTTTTTCACATGTAAGCAAGAGGAAAGGGGATTTCTTCCATCGCTGGGACTGGCTCTCTCTCTCTCTTTCTTTCTCTTTTTCTCTCTCAGTTATTTTTTGTTTGGTTTCAGGACATCGAAATCAAATCTCCCAGTAGTGCCATGGTCAGTGTAGTTCAGTGGTTAGAGCGTTGGCCCATGCACCAACGGTTTTCAGCTTTAATTCCCAGTCAAGGGCAGGTACCTAGGTTGGAGGTTCGGTCCCCCGGATTCAGTTGGGGAGTGTGCGGGAGGCAATTGATGTGTGACTCTCACATTCCTGTCTCCCCCTTTCTCCCCTCTCTCCCTTCCACTCTCTAAAAATCAATGGGAAAATATCCTCAGATGAAGATGAACAACAGCAACAAAAACCTCCCAGCAGTGACTGGTTTTATCGAACTGAGTGCTACCTCCTTACACACAGTGAATGCTTCTTTGATCATTTTCTGGGACTCACACTGTAGACCCGCCTCCTGGCGGCCCTGTCCGGTGGACACGCTGCTGGAGAGGTGCCTGGAAGTCCGTTATCACGCTGCCAGGGTGATGCAGCCATAGAGGCTGATAGGTAGCACATGTTGGCCTGGTTGAACCAGATGGCTCAGGTTGGACCCACTCCAAGCTACTATCTCCTTATGACCTCTGCGACTCGATGGTTTACCAGTGTAAGTTTTTGGCGTGGGTGTGCATAGGAGAGAGCACCTTTTCCCCCCTATTTCCCTGGAATTTGAGGGACAAGGTGTTAAAGGTTAGCTACTATTCTGATTCGGAGGTTCCCCCTGGAGCCCAGTCTGATGGTCAGGAAAGCTTATGGTGAACACGGGCAGGCCATCATCTACACAGCTCTGCCTCCAAGGAGAGCGGGGGCAAGTTTCTGGAAGAGGAGTCACCATCACCACCATCATCATCATCACCCCCTCTAGCCACAACTCCTTGCTCACTGAATCCAGTGTGAATGCTTTTGTGACCCAGTGCTCTCTGAAGGCACAAGATTATTCATAGGTTATTTTCTGCCTCTTCAGGTGAATGATTTTAATAATTGATGTTCCCTGGCTCTCATCCTTTTCGCATAAGAGACCAGTACTTTTAACATATGTTATAATCAAACTTATAACTGTATACTTCTATGAGAGAAAGAGAGAGAGAGAGAGAGAAAGAGAGAGAGAGAGAGAGAGAGAGAGAGAGAGAGAGAGAGAGAGAGAGAGAGAGACTAAAAATTAGAATGGTTCTGATTGACTAAGAGATTAGTAGGGATTTTAATTTGTGGGACTTGGATCTTTCCCTTGGGACCAAATAGCACAGAAGAAATAACTCTGATAGGCCAGCCCCTTGAGTGTCCAGCTGAGAAGGCCCATCCCATGAGGAGGGAGCGGCCTCATTCCCTCTTGCCCTCGGGAGAGTCCTCTCTCCTGCGCCCACTGGCTGGCCTGGGAGTGCTCCTGGCTAGGGACACCCTGTTCCGGGCCAGCACCGCCCCACACAGACGCAGGCCAGGGCCAGCACGGACACGCTGCGTGCTGGTCCCGCAAGGTTAAAACAACAGTCTCACCATTTTCCTACAAAAACAAAATCACTTTATCCTGAACATCTTGTCCTTACGGGCGGGCCTTCCTGGAGCGATGCTGGAACCACTGGCTGGGGTGGTGTGGGGATGCTTCTGGCTGCTGGGCTCTCTGCTCCCCGCCAGTAAGTGACACAGACTCCCCAGCAGCCCCCGCCCCTGCTCACTGTGAATTAACACTACAGAGAGACTGTCGGGTACAACCTCGTGTGGTGCTCCAATGACTTCTTAAGTGATCAGCTACCCTTGGTTCTTCCTACCCCAAAGCCCACGCAGTTCAGCAGTAGGGATTGCAGTCAGCTTGGGTACGTGGGCTGGAAGTGGGAGGGGAGCAGAGTCACTGCAGGTGGCTTGGGGATTTATACATTCCAAGTTCCCTTTAAAAGGCTTGTTTGCACACAAGTTTGAATGGAGTATGTGATAGAGGGTGGGGAGGGAGCCCACAGATGCAGCATGGGGAAAGCTTTGCAATATCCAGCTGCCCAAACGTTAGGACTGAGGCCAGTGATGCCCTCAGGGCCTGGAGTAAGAAAGACGGGACATTTTTCAAAACAACCCTGTTTTTAAAACTGCTCAGAAGCCAAAGTGTCCATGATGTACACAGTGGCTGTAAGACCCCTAATTCTGCACGAAGACAGTAGTCACTAGCCACATGCTGCTTTTTAAATTAAAATTGGTTAGAAACAAATGAAATTAAAATTCACTTCCTCAGTCACACTAGCTCAATATGAGCTGCCCGTGGTTAGTGGCTATTGTACTGGACAGCCCAGCTCTGGTAACTGAAGGCCAGTGACCTGGCATCATCACGGTTGCAACGGGGACCATGCAAGGGCATCTTCTGAAAACTGCCAACTGGGTTCAGTTTTCCACCATCGTGCTGGGAGGCTGGAACAGGGAGCTGGGGTTGGCTATTTGATCAGCTGTCTTTTGCTCTGAGATCATCCCTCTTGAGGCTTCAGAGGGGCCCATTTAAGTAGAGGAGGCCTCTGTACCTGCTACACGCAATTTACTTTCTAAGTACTGATGACTAGGTAAGGAAAACAAGGCCCGGCAATGAAAGTGGCTAAGAGATGCTAAGAAATGAAAATTGGAAAGCAATTTAAAAATATAAATAAACGTGTGCATGATAAAAATAAATAGAAAAAGGAAAAAAATAGAAACATTAGGAAAGAAGTCAACCGTGTTTGACTATTAATTAAAACGTAGTGAGATTGTATAATTTTTAAAATTAACTTTTTAGACATAAAAAAAAAAAAGACAACATTGGCTGTCTCCCCACAGCTGGTTTGGGGGCTCACTGACCCGGGAATCTGTGGAAGTGGAGGAGGACAGCCCACAGGAGGAGTCAGGGCACCCACCTTCTCCTCTGAGGAGCACAGGTGCCCTGGCCATCCTCACACAGAGACCGGAGCGCAGCACCAGCTGGCGCTCCAGGGAGCGTCCTAGGGACGGACATACAGACATGCTGGGCTGTGTTTCTCTTTAAGAGCCACTCTTGGCTGTCAAGTTGTTGATGGCTGTCTCCAGCTCCCCTGGCTTAAACCCTTGCACAGTTAACGTTATACCTTACACTGCTCCTGGCTTCAAATACAACCGATGGTCAGTCTTGTGATTTGTTCAGAACGCTGAAAAGTGAAGGCGCTTTTATTTATTCCTATAATCAATGGAAATATTATGAGGCCTCAGTTTTAAAAAAAAATTTAGAATTTTACAAAATAAAAATTATTTGGGGAACAATTTATGGTTAATAGTATTCAAACCCTGCCTTTGTGAAGAATTATAAACCATTAAAAATGAATTCTAGGTTTATTCCTGAATCTCCACGGTGGCTGATATCCCAGAGAAGGTTTAACGAGGCTGAAGCTATCATCCAAAAAGCTGCAAAAATGAACAAGGTAGCGGTCCCGGCGGTGATTTTTGACCCTGTGGAGGTAAGCATTGGCAGATGTTTTCTCTTGAGGTCAGTCACACATTCTTGTTCTTAATGGAGTTTAATTCGATGTATTTTGAGTGCCCACCCAGTAGCAGGCTCTGTCCAAGGCCTTAGAGACACAACAATGATTAAATTCTGAGATAAAACCCAAAACATGAAAAGATGTGTGTGAATTAAATGCTATAAAATATGTAAACTGGTTAGCATAGGGCAAGTGTTAACTAAACATTAGTTCCCTTCCTTTTTGTAAGTTCATCTCCAACTTTTTATTGGTATTGCTTCATTCTGGTGAATATATATATATATATAAAGCCTGGTGCACGAAATTCATGCCCTGGGGGGGGGGAGGGGTGTCCCTCAGCCCAGCCTGCACCCTCTCACAATCTGGGACCCCTCAGGGGCTGTCCTCAGGGATTCCTGTGGGATCAGGCCTAAACCGGCAGGCGGACATCCCTCTCACAATCCAGGACCACTGGCTCCTAACCACTCGCCTTTCTCCCTGCCATGAGGCACATTGGACCTGAACTGGATGGGTCCAGGGAGGGAAAGGGAGCTTGTGCTTTCCCGAGGCCCAGTCACCTCCCCTGCTCACCTCCCAGGTAGAGTCCTCTTTAGGAGGATCTGCAGAGCCCTGCACCAGCAATGCAGCCTGCTCAGGATGGTGATGAGAGTCTGCCAGATGCTCATGCTAGCCACATGCCCATTTCTCAGGAGAGGAAACTGAGGTACAGAGTAGTTAAGTAGTTTCCCCAGGATCACACAGCTAGAAGTCTCACCAGATCTCTCCAGTGCCAAAGGGCGTGCACTTACCTGACATGAGGAGCAGTGGTGTTAAGTTGGACAGGAAAGAATGAAAAGTGGTATCATTTGGAAAGCAATCTCAAACTTCTCAGATGTCCTTTCTGAAGCATCTCCAACTTGCTTGGTGCCTGGTCCAAAGGCATTTTGGTGGCTCCACACAGGCCAAGCATGAGCCCTGGATACTAACACCAGGAAAGTGCAATTAAGCAGGTTCCGGTGGGACCCAGCAACCTGCAATTTCACAAGGGCCCTGTGGAAGCACCAACTGTCAGCACAGGCTGACTCCGGGTCCCATCTGTGCGTGGCACCACTCCCAGGGCCCTCCGGGTTCCCTCCAGCTGTGCAGGGCTCTGCCTCGTGGCCGTCACAGAGCTCCCAGTCGTGCAGAAGAAACCAGGTGATATGCCTGTGAGCTGCGTGAGGAGGCGTCTGATGACTCCTGAAAGAAGGATGCTAATATCTGGGGAGCACCAGCTACTTTTACTTCTTTTATCATAGAAGCTCCTTCCTCAGCCTCATTGATCACACACCATAGGGCCACAAAATCCTTGCACTTTATCCCAAAGAGCTTCCCCACCTCAGAGTCTTGTAACTTTTTAGCTTTAATGCTAATAAGCTTGGCTATCTAGATTCCTAACATATGGCAAGCTAACATTAGTAAATTAAAAGTGAAGGAGGGCTCAGAGGGAAGGTGGGGAGGGTGGGAGGGTGGGAAGAGATTAACCAAAGAATTTACATGCATAGCCATGGACATAGTGTGGTGAAGACCTGGGGTAAGGAGCAGGGGCAGGCTAGAAGGCGTCAATGAGGGAAAATGCAGGGACATATATAATCTTTCAACGATAAAGTTTTTTTGTGTGTTTTTTAAGTAAAGGAGGGGAGCCCATTGACAATAGTAAGAAATTGCCCCTCACCACTAACAGCTAGCATCTTCTCAGTGGCAAAGTAATAATATTAACAGTTAAAATGTATTGGGCATTTACGTAGTTCAGGTATATGCTACGCTACATTTAATCTTCTCACCTCCATATATATCATATATATTGTGGGGACATCATGGTGTCCCTCCAAAATGTATACATACTAACAGCTGGTAGCTCAATTGATGTTTCTTTCTTTTCAGGTTTAACCCATTGGAGTTAATTGCTCAAAGTGTGTATAGTTTTTTGGGGGGCATCCTATTTTACAGAGAAGTGAATGGGGGCTGAGAGAGGATGGATAGTGACTGTCCCAAGGTCCCACAGTTAACTCAAATCTGTTCAAGTCTGTTCTGACTCACAGACCTCGACAAGAAAAGTATAAAAAGCAGACTGGGACCTCAAGGCGTACAGCCCTGCCCACACAAGGATCACAACGCAGTGTGATTCAGCTGCCCATAGTGATGAGCCTGAGGCAGGGAACGGCTGTGCTGGCAGTTAGGCTTTCTGAAGAGACAGTGGAGCCAACGTTACATATTGTAAAGGCATCTGTCATAAATTAGCCACAAACATTTTAGTGTTAGAATAAAGTGTCACATATGTACATGCTCTTATTCCCCGAGAATTCCTGATTTCTAAGCATATTCAAGGTAAAGTGCATAAGTTTTTGCCATGCTGTCATGGCCAAAGATACTTCCTCACTAGCTCTTAATCTTATGGTTATTTGCATTATTTTAGCTACAGGAGCTAAAACCCCTGAAGCAGGAGAAAATTTACATTCTGGACCTGTTCAGGAAAAGAAATATTGCCACAATAACCACTATGTCTATACTGCTATGGTAAGTAATAAGTGATCTGCAAGTGTGGTATACAGCACATAAGTATATGACTTATTTTCTTTAGTTCAGGGGAACATCAGGACAAGGCCTAGGTCTGCATGAGACAAAATAAAAATTATCCTATATAGCCCTAATCGGTTTGGTTCAGTGGATAATCAGCCTGCAGAATCAAAGGTTCCAGGTTCGATTCCGGTCAAGGACATTTACCTTGGTTGCGGGCACATCTCTAGTAGGGAGTGTGCAGGAGGCAGCTGATCAATGTTTCTCTCTCATTGATGTTTCTAATTATCCCTCTCCCCTCCTTTCTGTAAAAAATCAATAAAATATATGTTTTAAAGAAATTCTCCTATATAATAAAGAGGTAATATGCAAATCGACCACTACACCAACACACAAGATGCTCCCCCTCATGTGGACACAAGATGGCCACCACAAGATGGCCAGTAGGGGAGAGCAGTTGTGGGCGATCAGGCCTGCAGGGGACGGCAGTTGGGGGTGACTGGGCCTGCAGGGGAAGGCAGTTAGGACAATTGGGCTGGCAGGGGAGCAGTCAGATGGCAAGGGAGTGGTTAGGGGGTGATCAGGCTTGCAGGCAGAAGCAGTTAGGGGCAATCAGGCAGGCAGGCGAGTGGCTGGGAGCCAGCAGTCCTGGATTATGAGAGGGATGTCGGACATCCCTCGAGGGGTCCCAGATTGAAGAGGGTGCAGACTGGATTGATGGACACACACACACACACACACACACCCTGCCCCCCCACCCCCGTGCATGAATTTTATGCACCAGGCCTCTAGTTTATATATATAAAAGGCTAATATGCTAAGTGTCCAACCATCCAACCTGTCACTATGACATGCACTGATCACCAGGGGGCATATGCTCAATGCAGGAGCTGACGTGATGCACACTGGCCATATTCAGAGAAATGGCACCACAGACCTGAACCCACAAAGCAATACTTGGCTCCCCCCAAGTGGGACACAGGCCCCACCATCACCTCAAAGTGATACCTCACCAAATTGCAGCTGTCATGTAGCAAAGCGCAGCTTTCTCTCCCTAATGACTAGCCTCCTTGTAGTTTCTTCAGCCCAGGAACACAACTTGCTTTATAGCCAGATGCAAACATTTTACACTTTAACCAAATGTCTGTGAATCATTTCCCCATACCTTATTTCATTTGATCCTCACCGAAGTCCTGGAGTAGGTAGATAGGAGAGTTGGTAGAATCCTTTTCTTTTCGTTAGCTGGAAAACAAAGATTTAGAAAGCTTAGAAACTTGACCCGACTGAAAAGAAGTAAGAAATGGTGTACCTTGAAAATGACTTTAGGCTTTCTCACTGTGCAGAATATTGTCAAACACTGCTGCAGTTAAATATTTTACCCTTTGTTCTCCCTGCGTGATCTACAATAATAATATGCTTCATGTTGATATTTATTGTTGTGTTGCTGACAATTACCTGAAAGAGAATTTGGGGTGCTTCACTGACTGGAAAAAAGTTTAGCTGCATCAGAAAGCAAGTCTAATTAAGCAAGTTTATTCTATATCTATAAAAGGCTAAGTTGACTCACATAGGCATGATACATACAAAGCTCTCGCTGGCGCCAATTGCATGCCTGTGTTTCAATCTGTCATTGTTGATCATGAATTTGGTTGACACCTTTCTTATAGAGAAAGGGTGAATAGTGATATTGAAATATTTCTTCTAATTAATTTCCTTTCAATGTGCATGAATTCGTGCACTGGGCCACTAGTAAAATTTTAAGTTATTTGGAGCTGCCTCAATTCAATTCATGGATCTGGATACCAAAAAAATAAGTCACGGGGAACAATAAAATCTGCTGTACTGTGGCCCACAGGGAAAGGGTCCCTCCATTTGGGATTAATGATGTCCTTGGTGCCTGAAGCCAAGATGCTAATTCAGCTCCTATTTCCTGAAGCTGTACTGGCAATTGAACAGGGTGATTAGAATAACCTGAATCCCTACTGCCTAGATTAGAGTTTGTTTTTGTTTTTAAATAATCCTCACTCTCTGAGACCATCTGGAATTCTGTAACAGAGAGGAATAGACAGAAGCACTCCAGCCATGAAGACAGAAGAGACACAGTTCAGAGATGGAAGATGCTGACGCCTCAGCATACCAGCAGACAACAGCTGCAGGTTGCTGAAGGATGCCCAGGACCAAACCAGAGACAGGCGGACCTGCATTACCACCATTTGTCCACCAACCAGATCTGAAATATCATGGCTGGCATGTACACATAAGGAACTTTCTGGCATTGAAATTGGGATGCAAAAGAACTGTTGGCCCAGAAAGGAACTCACTACAGACTGATTCATTTGCCTCTCAGCATGATCATTATGGCTTGTTGCAGTTTAGGTTCTTGCAAGGGTATTTCTTGGATCACATGTTCTCACATATCTAGAGGAAATAATGAACAACACAAACAGACCCAGAGAAAGAGAACCGGCGATCAGACTCTCAAACCTCAGAGGGAAAGTAAGGGAGGATGGGGGTAAGGGGAAGAGATCAACCAAATGACTTGTGTGCATACATATGGGCCTAGCCAGTGGCCATGGACAATGGGGGTTGGGGGGGGCATATCTAGGGAGGGGTTTGGGATGGGAATGGGGGAATAAGAATAATTATGTGAGACCATAATCAATAAAAAAAAATTTAAAAAAATAATAAATAAATAAATAAATAATCCTCACTGGAATATATGTTTATTGATTTTAGAGAGGGGGATGGAGTGAGGAGAGAGAGAGAGAGAGAGAGAGAGGGAGATTGAAACTTATGGGCCCCAACTGGGGATCGAATCTGCAACCTAAGTACATGCCCTGACTGGGAATTGAACCCAAAACCTTTTGGTGTACAGGACAATGTGCCAACCAACTGAGCCACCTGGCCAGGGACCAGATTGGGGTTTTGACAAGCTATATATATATTAGAGACCAGTGCACAGGGAGGAGGGGGGCCCTTAGCCAGCCTGCACCCTCGCCAATCCAGGACTCCTCACGGGATGTCCAATTGCCTCTTGCAATCTGGGACTGCTGGCTCCTAACTGCTCGCCTGCCTGCCTGCCTGCCTGCCTGCTTGCCTGATTGCCCCTAATCATCTCTGCCTGCCTGCCTGATTGCTCCTAACTGCTCCCCTGCTGGCCTGATTGCCCCTAACTGCCTCTGCTTTACCCTGCACCCATGACCCAGATTCCCTCTCTCTGGCCAGCCACAGACACCCAGGCCCTGGGCTGGCTTCCCTCAGGCCAGCCACAGCATCAGGGGACTGTGTGTGGGTGGTTTAGCCTGGGCCACAACCACAGGCACCCAGGGCCCCGGGGTGGGAGGCTTGTCCCTCTCCCGGGTCACAGCCTGGCTGGTCCCCATTCCTCTCTCAAGCTCATTTGTGCCTGGCTGGTCCCCATTCCTCTCTCCCAGTGTTGAGTGCCTGAGCCATTACTGCGTGAGGGTGTGATGACTATTTGTATATTAGCTCTTTATTATATAGGTATTTAAAAATATGCTTTTATTGATTTGAAAGAGGAAAGGTGGGGGAGAGAGAGAAAGAGGAACATCAATGATGAGAGAGAATCATTGATTGGCTGCTTCCTGCATGCCCCACACTGAGGATTAAGCCTGCACCCCTGGGCATGTGCCCTGACAGGGAATTGAACTGTGATCTCCTGGTTCATAGGTTGACGTTCAGCCACTGAGCCACACTGGCAGGCTACCAAGTGATTTTAAGGCATCGAAATAATGAATTGACTAGTTTTAATAATATATATGCCAAGAAATGAGGAAGAAGGAAAAAAAATGCTTATCCCATGATGGCAACAGAAAGAAAGATGATTGTCATAACTAGTAGGTTCAGACTGCAGCTAGTCTATTTTTAGGACCATCCCGTTTTGCAGTTCGAGGAAACTGATGACAGAGCATATGACTGAATTAATCAAATGTGTCCAGGCACCTGGCTTTCCTCCCTTACTGCAGGCCTCCTTAGTTCTCACCTGCCAGCATGGTCCCTGGTTTTTATCTAAGCTGCTCTTATTACCAAATGTGAGAATCACTAAGATTCCTAGAGAGATCAAGGTTAATTTTTGTTGTATTTTGCAATAGCCCTGTGCTACCCAACCTAATAAAGTATGCATAAAAATCTCCAACAGTGTCCTGAAAAGATTCTTCAGATATCTTCTGCTTTCATTCATCTGAATAACAAGCAAACTTCTGCACAGGGAAGCCTGCATAGGGCAGTGATTTTTCCAGAGAAGCTTTTCCGTGGATGTTAACTGTAATGACAGGATATATGGCGTGCACTTCATGATACTTGGAAACATTATGGGTCTCCATTCTTTTCCCTAAAGTGAGTTTTACTAAATCTCTTGGAATTTACTATAAGTGGATCCCACAGTATTACCTATGTTTCTCCTTCTCCTTCCTGTTTTTTTTTTTTTTTTTCCCTTTGGTAAGAATGAAGCCTGGATTTCATGTTCACTGACATGGCTGATATACATTCTTTCTTCAGATCGTAGCTCTAAGGGAATGAAGATGTACAAACTGTTTGGGAAATATTGAAATGTAAAATTAACTAGACCAGAGTAGATGTTGTTGTGTACTGGTATATCTAGACTTATGCTGTCCAATAGAACTTTTCACAGTGGTGAAAAAGGTTCTATCTGTGTTGTCCACTGTAGTAGCCACTAGCCACATGTGGCTATTAAGCAATTGAAGTGTCACTGATGCGATGGAGGAACTGATTCTTTGATTTTTTTTCTTTTAAGTTTTTTTTTATTGCTGTTGTTAATCCTTACCCAATGAGATTCCTCCATTGATTTTTTTTTTTTTTTTTTTTTTTAGAGAGAGTGGAAGGGAGGGGAGAGACAGAGAGAGAAGCATCATTGTGAGAGAGACACATCAATAAGTTACTTCCTGTATGCAACTTGACCAGGGATGGGAATCTAGCCTGCCACAGAGGTATGTGTCCTTGACCGGAATTGAACCCGAGACCCTTCAGTCTGCGGTTCAATGCTCTATCCACTGAACCAAACCGGTCAGGGCTGATTTTATTTAATTTTAATGTACTTACTTTTAAAAGGCGATATGTAGTTATTGGCTACTTATAGGAAAACAGAATCTAGACAATTTCTTGACCATTATGAAAGTTTAGAGTAATTCATGCCATCCTCTTATCACTTTTTTCTTTCTTTCTTTTAGGATGCTAACCTCTGTCGGTTACTTCGCTCTGTCTCTCGACTCTCCTAATTTACATGGAGATGCCTACCTGAACTGTTTCCTCTCTGCCCTGATTGAAGTTCCAGCTTACATCACATCCTGGCTGCTCCTGCGAACCCTGCCCAGACGGTATATCATCGCTGGAGTGCTGTTCTTGGGAGGAGGCGTGCTTCTCTTAATTCAACTGGTACCTGCAGGTAAGAAGTTAACCAACAGTGACAGCTTAACAGAAGAGACCTACACCTTGACTTGGGCTAGTTATTGGTCACTGCTCCCTGTTTATGTAGCCTTCCCATCATATACCATTCGTAAGCCAGTTAGACAAAGGATAGCGTCTATGTGATTTCCTGTGTTCAAAACAACACCCTCAAACAGAGGAGTCAGCCGTGGAGAGCTGGAAATCATTACCTGAAAAGGAAAAATAACGCTCCCAGTCATCCCTGATGTAGAAACCTTCACCCAAACCCTCAAGCCTCTTTCTTGAAGACACAATCCTGATTCCCAATTTCTTGGTACTTTCTAACCTTTATTTGAGGTGCATACTCAAGTGTAAGAGTTAGTAGTTCATGCCAGTTCCAGTATAAATTCAGTGATTTTTTTTTAGAGTCTGTAATGTTTTAGTTAGAGAGCACACAGAACAACCTAAACTGATAAACAAAAATAGATCCAGATATATAGAAGCATCAAACAGACAGTTAAACCTCAGAGGGAAGGCAGGGGAAGGTGGAAGGGGGGAGGGTGAAAGATCAACCAAAGGAATATGTATTTCTTAATAATAATAAACAGGATAGAAAGCATTGGTCCTTCTCGTTGAAAATTAAACTTAACTATATTAACATGCTAGCGACTTACCATGAAAGTGCTGTAACAAGTAAAAGTGGACGCAGGTCACTGAGTGTGTAAAAGATCTAGACTAATGGTAGAGCCAAGAACAAGGCAACCCCTCACTCTCCATCTTTGTCCATGTCATTTTTTAAAACATTTGAAGAAAAAGTGTTATTTAGGGAATATCTCTACATTGTGCAAAACACATTCCTTCAAGCAAAGAGAACCGTAAAAGCTACTGAGTTGAGAACATATCACTTTGAAAGCACCTCTGCTTACACTGGGTCTCTTCTCCAGATTACAACTTCTTGTCCATCGGCATGGTGATGTTAGGGAAATTCGGGGTCACCTCTGCCTTCTCCATGCTGTACGTCTTCACCGCAGAGCTCTATCCCACGCTGGTCAGAAACATGGCTGTGGGCGTCACCTCCATGGCCTCCAGAGTGGGCAGCATCATCGCTCCCTACTTCGTGTACCTCGGTGAGACGCAACTCACTGATCTGTTCTTTTCTTAAATGTAAAAGTAATATGTTTTCGCTGCATAGAAAGTACTGAAAAAAGTACAAGTTTATGTCTTCTCTCTCAGTTCCCCAAATCATACCCCTAGAAGTAATTAATATTAACAGTTTGGTGAGTAGCGCTTCCAATATTTTGTGTGTGTGTGTGTGTGTGTGTGTGTGTGTATTAACACATAAACAAAATTATATATATACATTGAGTGGCCAGATTATTATAATCTTAGAACACATAATAATCTGGCCACTCAGTGTATATCCTATATAATAAAAGGCTAATATGCAAACTGTCCCCTTGACCAGGAGTTCGACCAGCAGGCAGGCTGGCCAACTGCCCTGTCCCCTCCCCCTGGCCAGGCTGGTTGAACTCTACCCATGCATGAATTCATGCACTAGGCCTATATACACACACACACATACACACACACTGAGTGGCCAGATTATTATGCATTCAGAGATCATAATAATCTGGCCACTCAGTATATATTTATATCCCCAAAGAACATAAGAATTCTCAGGATAGGTACACTCAATTCTTACAGAGAAACATTTTCCTATTTTATGCATCCTCTGCACAGCTGCCCTAAATAACACCCAAGAAAATACATTATTATATAGAATTGTGTCATTTCCCCTTGTTCTTCCCTGTACTTTCAAATCATGCTCATATAGTCAAACGGTGGGCCACTGATACATAAAAAATGGAGAAGTCTAAGACAGAGCTTCCTATTTCACAAGCACTACTCCTGTTAGTGACTCATTGTTGCTTTTTTTGTCAAATAAAATTCTTGGGTGTGTTGTTCCTCTATAATCTCTCTATGCAGATGGGGAGCAAAATAAAGATCTGTTATTCTCCTGAGTGACATTGTATAAAGAAGAGATGAAGTGGTTCTTCCAATTATATATAAAACCAAGACATAAATTCTGCAAAAAGAAAAAAAAAAAAGAAAGAAAGAAAGAGAAACCAGAGCACTGCTTTCACAGTGCCTAACTTTTTATTATTATTATTATTATTGGATTGAACATATTACTTAGATTTTTTTTCCCAGTCCCGTGACTTCATGGACCTCGCTTTCCACTGCAGCCTACTGCCTTTGTTCAAAGCAAAGGTCACGCCAGTCTTGATAGCCAGTACCTGTCCCTGCACCAGGCTGGTCATCCTCTTTCTTCTTAAGGTCCTCCCATTCTCTCTCCTCCAGTTACCTCCACCTTCAAAGGAGAACTTTGCTATTTCTACCAAAGGAACATGATCATATAGCAGCTTAGAGAATACCACTTGACAAGAGAGACCTTCAGATAATGCAAAACAAATGGCGTATTTTGCTTACTTTTTAACTTCAGAAAATGCTCCAGTTTAAAACTGCTGTCAAGTACTGCTTGCCACATTTACAAAACGATGCTCGAGAGCTTCTGGAGAATCCCTTTTTCTAACACTGTCCTGTGCCTTACAGGTGCTTACAACAGAGCTCTGCCCTACATCCTCATGGGCAGCCTGACCATCCTGATCGGAATCATCACCCTGTTTTTCCCTGAAAGTTTTGGAATGGCTCTACCGGAGTCCTTAGAGGACATGCAGAAAGTTAAATGGTAAGTGGAACTTTAAAAAATGGTACAAAATGTCTCAGAAAGAATAAATATGCAAGAATGGCGAGGGAGAGTGGCTTTGATAAAATAAAGTGTGTTATGAAGCAGTGGTAGTGAAAACAACGTGCTGATGGTATAGGAATAGAAATCACTGGAGTAGATGCTCTCGCAGCTGCCATTCCCATGCACTGACAGCAACAGCCTCACACGCACCCACTGATGGCGCAGAACTATTGGGGCCAGCACCCTCAGTGGGTGCGAGCCACGACTGCTGCTCTGATTACCCCTCAGAAGCAGGGGGAGGTGGAGAAGCCTTCAGGGGCAATCGGGGCTTGCTGAAGCTGCCGAGCAATTGAGACTGGAACCAAGCACCAGCAGCAGGTGCAAGTGAGGTTGTCGCCATCAGCCCGTTTGAAGGCTGGGTGGAACCATTGCACACAGGAGCAAAAATTTTTCAGTAATTACCAGAGGCTTGCCCAATGACAGCGACTGGAGCCCTGCTTTGGTATGATGCCCTGGCTCACCTGCTCCACCATCCCACCAAGGCTGACACCAACCTTGTTTCCCATGTGCCCCCTGGTGATCAGTACATGTCATAGCAACTGGTTGTTCGGTTGTTTGGTTGTTCCACCATTCGGCCTATTTGCATATTAGCCTTTTATTATATAGGATAATTCCATTTAACAGAATTTGGTCAAACCATGTATACTAACCCTAGAATAAAATCCAGATTAAAAGATCTTTAAAATCATATTGCTATTACTAATAAATATTAATTTTTTTATCTGTTTCTTTCCTTTCATTCCCAAGTCACCTCTGAGCTCCAGATACATGCCGCTTCATGTTGATAACATTGCTATAATCTTTGAACTTCTCTACCCCCGTTGTTAATACTGTGTTCTAATCTATTTCACATACTGCTGCCAAGTTAATCTTTCTAAAGAGCACTGTGACAATCATTCCCTGGCTCTGAAAGCTACTGAGGCTACTGAGGCATCTCCATGACTAACAAAGTCTTTCAAGCTGGCCATAATCCACTTCAACTCTACTGACTCTTCTCCTTCCATCATGCCACACCATCACCACTGAGCCTTTGTGCTTGTCACCAATCCTGCCTGTAAAATTGCTCTACATCAGAGATAGGCAAAGCTTTTGTGTTAAAAGTCAGCTAAGTAGTTTAGGCTTTACAAGCCTTACGGTCTTGGTCACAACTTCTTGACTCTGCCCTGTAGAGCTGAAACAGCCAACAGTAAATAAATGAGCATGTATGTGTTCCAATGAAATTTGAATTTCCTATAGCTTTCATGTTACCAAATATTATTCTTTTAATTTTTATTCAACATATTAAAACCATTCTTAGCTTGAGGTGCTATACAAAAACAGATGTTGGACAGGCCCTGACTCTTGGACAATATTTATAATAGCTTGCCAGCCTCTGTTATACATGAGTCTAAGTCTTGCTCTTTACTTATAGTTCAATCTACCCTGCAAATGCTTCCAGTTTGTTAGTACTAATTGTGCTTTTTTCCTTATTAAATTTTCTTCTGTTTATATAAAAATATTGACCATACTCTACATCTCTGTGTAATCCTAAGGCCACATAAAAAAATAAACACCTGTTATTTAAGAAAAAAAAAAAAAAAAAAAGGAAATCACTGGAGTAGAATTCGAATTAAACCCAAGAAAATATGAGAATTTTGTATATGATAAAAAGTAGAAATACAAAAGCAGTGAGGAAACATTAGATTATTCAGTGGAAGATATTAGAACATTCAGCTAGCCATTTCATTTTATTCTATTTTTAAAATATATTTTATTGATTTTTCACAGAGAGGAAGAAAGAGGGATAGAGAGTTAGAAACATCGATGAGAGAGAGTCATCGATCAGCTGCCTCTTGCACACCCCCTACTGGGGATATGCCTGCAACCAAGGTACATGCCCCTGACTGGAATCAGTCCACAGGCCGACTCGCTATCCACTGAGCCAAACTGGTCCCGGCTCAGCTAGCCATTTTAGATAAATAAAAATTTGAGTCCTGCTTCAAAATGCATCCATATAAATTCCAGAAAGATTAAAAGTTGTAGCCTAAAAATGTAAAATCATTGCTGAAACCGGTTTGGCTCAGTGGATAGAGCATCAGCCTGCAGACTGAAGGGTCCCAGGTTTGATTCCGGTCAAGGGCATGTACCTTGGTTGCGGGCACATCCCCAGTAGGGGGTGTGCAAGAGGCAGCTGATCGATAGTTCCCTCTCATCAATGTTTCTAACTCTCTATCCCTCTCTCTCTTCTTCTCTGTAAAAAAATCAATAAAATATTTATTTTTTAAAAATGTAAAATCATAAACATACCAGAAGAAAAGTATTTTTATAACTTTTGAGAGGGCCTTTCTGAGCATAATCTGAAAAGTAACAAGCCATAAAGAAAAAGTTTGATATAGCTAATTATGTGATTTTAGAAATCGTTGGCACAGCAAAAAAGAAACCATAAACAAAGACAAAGGTCAACAAGGCAGGAGGAAAATATTTGCAACATGCAACACAAACTCGGGGCTGGTATACATAATATACAAAACGCTCTTAGTGATTAGTAGGGGAAAAGACAAATAACTCAATAGGAAAATTTAGCAGAGGTCATGAACAAGCACTTTACAGAAAAGGACTTTTCAGTGGCAGATATACACTGAGTGGCCAGATTATTATGATCTCTGAACGCATAATAACCTGGCCACTCAGTGTATTTCTTATGTAATAAAAGGCTAATAGCCGAAACCAGTTTGGCTCAGTGGTAGAGCGTCGGTCTGGGGACTGAAAGGTCCCAGGTTCGATTCCGGTCAAGGGCATGTACATTGGTTGTGGGCACATCCCCGGTAGAGGGTGTGCAAGAGGCAGCTGGTCGATGTTTCTCTCTCATCGATGTTTCTAGCTCTCTATCTCTCTTCCTCTCTGTAAAAAATCAATAAAATATATTTTAATAAATAAATAAAAGGCTAATAGGCAAATTGTCCCCTTGACCAGGAATTCGACCAGTATGCAGGCTGGCCAACCGCCCATGTCCTCTCCCCATGGCCAGGCTGGCTGGACCTCACCCATGCATGAATTCATGTTCTGGGCCTATATATATTGAGTTGGCTAGATTATTATGTGTTCAGAGATCATAATAACCTGGCCACTTAGTGTATATATGAAGAAATTATCCACATTAATAAAAATATATCAAAAAAATAATTCAGTATCATTTCTTTGGCTTATGAGATCATGAGGGTTTTTCCTCCTGATACCAACCAATTCTAACACCAACTGGCCTATAATCCAGTTCTAACACTAACTACCTGGAGTTTGCATCAGACTCCACTGGTTTAAAGGCTCAGTCTCCCTTCAGATGTCAGTCACAGGTATCAAGTCCCCCGGTGACTCACACTTCTGTCCCACTTGGCTACAAAGCTGGGTGTTTCCACACACCCGCTCCTGAAGGACGTTTGGTAATCTGCTAGGACGACTCATAGAATTCAGGAAAACACCTTCCTTACTATTACTGGGTTTATCATTGTAAAGGATACAAGTGAACAGCCAGATGAAGAGGTGAGAGGGGTGAGGTCCGAAAGGGTCCACAGAGCAGGAAGGAGCTTCTGTCCCCGTGGAGTTGAGGAGTGCCCCAGCCCAGCACAGGGATGTGTTCACCATTCAGAGGCTCTCTGCACCCCACTGTGTAGGGGGTTTTATGGAGGTTCCATCACAGAGACATAGGCATGGTCAATTACTAATCCCTGGAGGTTGGGGTGGGGTGAAAGTTCCAGTCTTCTCATCGAGGCTTGGTTTTTCTGGGACCAGATCCCATCCTGAAGTTATCTTAGGGGGGGCCCAGCCAAGAGTCACCTCATTTGAACAAAAGATGTTCCTATTACCCCTATCTCTCAGGAAATCACAAGGGATTTAAGAGTTCTGTTGGTAACAGGGACAAAAAACCAAATATCTTCCTATGCTATCACAGATTGGCAAACATTTAAAGTAAAGTGGTTTGGTAGGAAGAGTTTAGATTCTAGAATGAGACTGCCTGGCTTCAAATCCCACATCTACCATATAAATTTGGGGAAATTTAATTTGGGATAAACTTAATTTTCACTAAACTTCAGTATTGTAAGATAACGTGTTTTAGTACCTGGCCATGATAAAGGTAAGTCTTTTATCATGTGAATGGATTCTGATCTCTGACAGAACACATAGTAAAAGGTGCATATTTTTGTTAGGCTATTTCCTTATAATGATACAACCAGTTCAATATGAACTTTAACTCATGACCACTTCATTCTTAACAATCTATCCTTTCCTCATGGAAACAAAAAAGAGTGTAAATTCTGGTTTTTGTGTATGGTTAATTAAGAAAATGACTCCAAATATTCAAAATAATAAAATATTAGCTCTAGGTTCTACTTAGAGATACATTCGTTACTTGTTCCTTGTTTTCCAGTGTCTGTTTAGAATTTTGAGGAAGAGAGTTGTGAATATTTAATTTTCTTTAGCACGTATCTTATTTTCAGGTTCAGGTCTGGGGAAAAAGCAAGAGACTCAATGAACAACGAAGAAAACCCCAAAGTTCTAATAACTTCATTCTGATAAAATGTCTACCCCTCTCGGTGAACTGAAAAACAGAGATGTAAGACCCTGAAGAAACCAAAGCTTTTCCTGATGAAATGGACTGACTATAACCAAACGGACCCTGCTGTTGAGAAATGCTTGTCATCTAGCAAAATCTGGTCCACTCTTCCACACAATCTCCTGTTTTAAAAAAAACTAACCATTTCTATAGAGTCCACATAAAACTGCTATCCAAATAAAAAGTGTCACTGTATTCACACAACTGTCAGGTGACAGCAGGGTGTGTGTGTGTGTGTGTGTGTGTGTAAGTGAACCGGCCCATTCAAATTTATAGTCCTTTCTACAGTGAACTTATATACTGCTGTAATCAAATGGCAGCATTCCTAGCCATAAAATTTTATACACTCCTTTGAGAGGATTAACAGTGTTTGCAAGAGATCACATAGCCTGGCTACTATTTTTTTTAATTATTATTATTTTTATTGATTTCAGAGAGGAAGGGAGAGAGAGAAACATCAATGATGAGAGAGAATCATTGATTGGTTGCCTCCTGCATGCCCCCACTGAGGATCGAGCTCACAATCTGATTCTTGTGTTTTGACCAAGAATCAAACCATGACTTCCTGGTTCCTAGATCAATGCTCAACCACTGAGCCACAGCGGCTGGGCACCTGTTGGCTTTTAAGAAGGGAACCAGAGCAGTTCCCAGCTACAATGCCAGGGGCCACAGCTCACAGACTATTAAAAGATCCACTTTTGTGCTCTCTTTGAGCACATGACTAAACCTTCTATTTCCTAAGACTGGCTTAAGATATATTTCACTGGTAAAGAGAGAATCATGAAAACCGCAAAACAGTACGATTGGTAGAGATGGTTTGTGTGCCCCACAGCCACGAGGGGTCAGCACCTAGGGGAAGCCTGTCCAAGCCAACCATTTAGGAAGCCTTTTAAAACAGTTATTTCCATCGATACACCTTCCCAAGCACAGTGTGCGGCTACATCCACTCCACCAGGGTGCTTCTGATCAGCAGTCACGGAGCCTCTGCTCCATGAATGAGCGGTGTAAAAGCTAAAAGCTACCAGAAGTTCAGAAAATAAATCTTAGCTCTATGTTGCACCATGTTTTGGGTTGAGATGATAGCACAGCAAGCAGTTACTTGGGGCAGCAGGCTTTCATTGAGGGTGGCTTCGCTGAGGGCAGCACGGTGATGAGCTACTGATGGCCCTTTAATACATCCAGGGCCAAGGTGTGTGCGTGGAAATAGACAGCTACTAATTTGTAATATGCTGCTTGGTGACATCATCTCCTTAAAATATTTATCCCCAAATGTTAACTTTCACTGTCGAAACATTTTTCTTTTTTTAATGTATTTTTATTGATTTCAGAGAGCAAGGGAGAGGGAGAGAGATAGAAACATCAATGAGGATGATGATCGGCTGCCTTCTGCACGCCCCCTACTGGGGATCGAGCCCCCTATACTCTGACCAGGAATCGAACCATGGTTCATATATAGGTTGACCTGACGCTCAACCACTGAGTCACACCAGCCAGGCTGTATAAACATTTTTCAAAGGAAGCTTTGATGTAACATCCTGATACATTCATTACTTTGAAATTCTTATCTTGAACTTTTCTGATAAGCTCAGAATTTGTTCTCTAGACTGCCGTATTTCTAACATATTTTATATCCTACTGACACACTGCTTCTGCATTTTGATTGTTACTGAAAATCCACTAAAATATCTTAGAATAGCTTATGCTTTGTCTTTGGGGATACAGGTGAGCAGCTATATCCTGCTTTTATTTCCCCACTGATACAGCCTGTCTGATGGCCATCCCACCTTCTCCGCCAGGCACTAGGCAGCCTGTCCTGCAGAGAGGAGGCCATGCTGAATCCCAAGAAGCTCTCCTTGAACTTCATTCCCAGCAGCAGTGAGTGTTCACTCTGCTGTGCTCTTTTAGTACTTGATACCCTCACTCTGTTGGGCTCTACTCCCCACCTCCATATGGTGATTAGCCTCTGGGAGCCAGGGACCTTGCCTGCTTATCTTTTGATAAATATTTATTTTAATTAAAATACTTTAATTGGTAAGAAATGTTATGTTTGATACATAGATATTTGAATATTTAAACACCTAAATGTAAAATGCTCTTAAAGTTTTTTTAAATACAAAAAGTAAGGATGTGATAATTACCTCTTATTGCTGTTTGTATGAGTGCTTTATATTTTAGTAGAGGCCCAGTGCATTAAATTCGTGCATGGCTAGGGTTCCTAGGTCTGGCCAGTGATCAGGACCCGTCTCTGGGGCAACTGGTGGGGCAATTGGGGCCCCTGCTCACACCTGCCTTGGCCTGACACCTCCCACTCACCTGCTCCACCATCCTGCCATGGTCCTGCTCTCATCAGGACCCATTGGGGCTGCAGTGCCTCCACTGCTGCCTGCTGCCTGCTGCCAGCACCGCATCACCAAGGACTGCCATGATCCGGGCCACCCCCTGGTGGTCAGTGCACATCTAACTCCTGGTCGGTCAAATTCCCGCCTGTGAGGACAATTTGCATATTAGTCTTTTATTATATAGGTCTAGAGGCCCAATGCACAAAATTCGTGCATGGGGGTGAGGTTCCCTCGGCCCAGCCTGCACCCTCTCTAATTGGGGACCCTTTGGGTAATGTCTGACCGCCAGTTTAGGCTTGATACCTATGGGATTGGGCCTAAACCAGCAGTCAGACATACTTCTCACAATCTGGGATCACTGGCTCCCAACCACTCACCTGCCTGCCTGATTGCCCCAAACTGCCCTCCCCTGCCAGCCTGATCTTGCCCCAATGGCCCTTCCTGTCAGCCTGATGTTGCTCCCAACTGCCCTCTCTGCCTCAGCCCCCATCACCATGGCTTTATCTGAAAGGAAGTCAGACATCCAGAAGATGGTCAGTTGACCTGATCCAATTAGCATATTACCCTTTTAGTAGTATAGATAGATTATATAGGATAGAATTGCTTAAGGGGGGACCCTTTTCATCAGGAGGAGATGCTCTTGGCAGACAAAAATATATAATCCTCATATCTGCTCTGATAGCTGCAGATAAGGCCTAAAGAGAGACCTGGAGGGAGAAGCAGGGTCTGATCCATAGCCTCCATGGTAGTTGTTGATCAGCCCTTGCCTCTCTCTTTCTCTCAGAGCCTGGCCAGCAGCGACACCACTGTTTCTCTTGGGCCTCTGATCAGCCCTTCCTTTCTGATTAGGCCCATTGTTAGGCCTGGAGACATTGACTAGCATAGAAACCAACCAATCAGAACCAAATCTGGGTGAAGTGTGAGGAACCAATGGCTGCCTAGGAGGTGGAACTTTTGACATTGACTGGCATAGAAATTGACCAATCAGAACCTAATCAGGATGACCTGCAAAGGCAGAACCTCTGGTGGGGGCTGAGAAGGGGTTTTAAGGGCAACAGTTGTTTGGTGTAAGGTGTAAGAAAGCAGTTCAATTTTTTAATGATCAGTTTGGCAAGATCTGCTAATCACCATAGTGCATATTTTCTAGAAAATCAATTGGCAAAGTGTTTTCAGAGTCTTAAAATGCTGGAGTTTTTTTGAGGTATTAATTCTACAACTGGGAAATCATCAGAGATATAAGAAATATTTATGCACATAAATATTTATCACAAATATAATGCAACTCACATAGTGTAATTCTAAGGTTTCTAGTGGCATTATTAAAAAGTAAAAAGTAAGTTTTAATAAATAAAGTAATAATTCAAAATATTTCAACAATATAAAATTATTATTATATTTTTTATAAAGACAATAGACAGGCTCACTGAAGGTAAAGACTGACCTTTGCCAAGGAAGCCTGACTGCTTTTAGTCAGGAATTTTTATGTTCAGTTCATCCTATGTAATTACTTTTGGTCTCTGATTTTTTAAGGCCCACCACGAAGGCCTCTAATCTTGTCTGATTTAGTATGTGAACCCTTTTTCGTCCACATGTGGAAAACTCCCTAATTTATCTTTTATGCTGATCTCTCCTATGACCTTTAGTCTCATATATCCAGCTGTCTCCAAATTTATATTTTAAAATAACTTTAAAGTACTCATATATTTAAATGTAAGTTTATTTTTATGTTTTAAATAAAACTCTTTGCAATCTTAAAAATGTTTCACAAATAACAAATTATTTTTCTAATCATAAAGATGTTTAAAAATAAAAACTTTTATTGAGTGTCAACTAAGTGTGAGGTCTTGGAGAGCAAAGATGAAGATCATGGAAGAAAATGCAAACTTCCTGCTCTTAGTGGGCTCAGTCTAGCCAGATGATAAACTCTTACCTGTGTGGCCACAGCAACTAGCTCAATGCCTCCCACTTGGGGGTGAGCTCTGTGGAGCTGAAACTCAGGTCAAAGTCATTTTCTTCCATTGAGACCCGGGTATGTTTATATCTCTCCTCCTCCATGCAACTTGAGCAGCAGTCACCTCTCCCCTGATTTGAACCAATCCAAGCTTGCTTTGCTGAGGCAAATTACCCTATTATTGAGTTTATATATTTAATAGGCCACTGAATGGATTGCAAAATATTATGAGGATTTGAACTATCACCCAATGCCTCTGAACACAGAGAAGTCTTAAACCAAGTTTTGAGAATCTTAAGACCATCCTTCTCCAACATGGCAAATATGATCCTTCTTGAAGTCAAATACTCTCTGTTCCTGCATCTCATCCTCCTATTGTTGCTTTCCCTGCTACAGTGAAAACCCATTCCACTGTGGACAAACAATTCTCCTCCTGCAAATATAGTCCCGGTTGCTCTCTCTACATCCTGGTCTCTACCTGGCTTCCCCATCGCTCCACTTCCCTCGTGGTTCTTCCTGTCTCTCAAATAGAGGCTGTTCAGTTACCACTTTCTATGAACTTCAGGGCCAGGGAAGGTCTCAGCACTTTCCTGTTTCCAAACCATAATTCCCTCAGCTTCACATCTATAAAATGCCTTCTTTGAGGTTTACACTGTGCTTTGTGGTTGCTATTAGCACAATCTTCCCAGCTGCTTGTCCGCATTCTATGAGCTCTCTAAAACCCAGCCAGGGGTAGTGATGCCTGTTGTGCTCGGAAGGCTAAGTAATTTTACACATCAACCTCAAAGTATTTAACCTTTACCTGTATTTCAGCTCCTTCCTGCCAAGGACACA